TGGCAATCATGAAGAAAGAAACCGAGGGTGCTAAGCTTCAACTACCACCAATTAAGAGCTAATTACAAACAAATTATATATGTGTTTTGCTGTGGGCTTTAATTTACTAAAATGGTTTTAATTAAAAGAGAAAACATGCTGATTAATTGAACTGCAGAAAAAATCTACAGTATAAACTGTGCTTTGTCTGTCTCTTTAATTAGACTTGTAACATCTGAAATCTTTTTTTAAGGTTTTTAAAAGCACATATAAACATAATGAAAGGGAGCATAAGGAACACCATTCTAGGTGATCATCCATCATACCTCAAAGGTTAAGACATTCTCAATGCGATGAATCTAAGCACGCGAGGAGAACCACACTCAGTACCATTTTTGCTTTTCCCATGTTAAAATGCTCCAACTTCAAGGCTGCACACAATGTTTTAGTGAGAATGAACATATGTTGAACCTCAATGTAAAGGAACTCAATGAAGTCTTTCCTTACCTGCATAGGAATAGTTTATTTTTCATACCTTGTGCTAATTATTCATCTATGTGAGATAACTGAATGACTTCTAAAAACTAAGGAGAAGAAGGCTTCAAAAGTATTAAAATCACCATTTAAAAGCCTCCCATTCTATGCGCAGACTACAAAACGATACACAGACGAACATTTAAATTAAAAAGCCACTAAGACAACCAAAGTTAATGAAAGTGAGTCAGTTCTAGATGATCCTTGACAGGCACAGACCCGCAGGGGGCTGAGAGCGAACTTGCCCAGGAAGCTGATCACGCTGCTGACCAGCTGACAGAAGCCTACGGACCGAGGGGGAGCTCTCCTCTCCCCGGAGCCCTGTGCCCTTTCCCACTGCTACTCGGGGAAATGTACACACAGAAAACGGCCCTAAGCTCTACTGTCTAACTGCAAAGAGAAAAAAAAAAGACAGAAGGCAGAGTAGTACAATTTCAAAGAAGGCCATAAAATATATTTAGCAGGCATTAATGACTTTATAATGAAATAATGTATTCTTCATATAAACCGCTGGTACTAGATTAACAGAGTAATGTCATTTCTACAAAAATAAAATAATGAAATGGAGATATTTAATTTTAAATTCTTAATATATACAAATGAGTAATATTTAATGCGCTTTTACTTTGGTTACACAATCTTCAGTGGCTAGAAATCACAATAATTAAGAAAATGGGAAGTACCTGCCATTCTTCATAAGGTCACAGGTTCTTAACAGTAGCTCACTGGAATATATGTTCAGCTTCATATCGAATTATTTTACTTTGGAAACATGGTTAAGATATTTCTACCCATTCACAAAAATAGGAAGAAACTAATTCTGCTCTCTGGATTATAGAATTAAAGGTTAGAACCACAACATTTCCTTCATTGTAGTACGTCTTTCAGGTCAGGTTCTTTCACGTGATGTGAACACCTTCCCTAAAATGTTAGAGCTCTGAAAATAGCACCGATGGGAAGTGACTTTCAACTCACCAAGTTTGGCAGCATTTCTATTCCAAAAATGTAAACAAATGTTTCCATTCTGAACTCTAGATATGATAATGCTTATGTGCCTTGATAGCTAAACCTATCAAAATTATTTGGGAAGAGGTGGGGTTTTTTTTGGGGGGGGGGGTGGGTGGGTAGGGGAGTCCCAAAGAAGGGGCAGTAATTCAAGCTCTTATTCCATCAAGACAACATGGCACGTACATCACCACAAAACTAAACCAGAATGAAAAGGGTGAACTGTAGCCAGAATCCTCACAGTGAAACTGAGCCTAACAGTGAGCTGTCCTGGGAAAACTCTGGAAGCTGGAACAAGCCCTCTGGCATCCGAAGCATTTCTGATGAAGGACCACTTCTTAGATGTTCATACAAAATGCAAAAACTATCCTTCAATGTATATATGCCCCTCTTCAATGAGAATGCCTTCAGATTTTCTAGGAAACTGCTCTAAAAACAGAGTTTTATGCTCCAAATTAATAACCTGCCTAAATTTAAGACAGCACTTAATGTGTTTAGCTAGGAAAAAATATAACTCAATCAATTCAAACTTTTTTTTTAAAGGCCATTCCTACCTTTGTTATTTTAAATATTAACAAACTATTATTATTTCAACATTAACTTTACCTATGTTTTAGAATCCAAACATTTAAGTAGTCTATTTTAAAAACTAGTAATATAGTATTTTTGTCTATTAAAAAGTAGTATTAAAATGGGATATTTTTATCATTTATACTGTGAGACCTTGATTAGGTTCTAAAAAAATACTATATCTAACAGCACTAATGGTGGAAGTCATTGCCTTTGTCCTGCATTCATAAACTCGAGCAAAAAGCTTTAAAATATAAACAGTTTATATCATTACTCCAAATGAAGATTTTAGGCCTTAGCAAAGATGTGAATATCAATACCTTGCAAATTAGTACAAATACGTGCGTGTGTGTATAAATAATATTTTAAAAAAACAACTTCTTAAACAGTTTCATCAGTATGACACAAACCCAAGTGTATTTTTCACTTCATCTCTCCTCCAAAATTGTAGGGAGCCCAAAGCAACATCACCACATGGCAAAATCAGAGGCAGCAGCACAATCTAGGCTCTAAACACTGAACCTGTTTCTATACAAATTCAGATCACAGACATCCTACGGTCACCACTAACCTAAGGCAGTGATGGCGAACCTATGACACGTGTGTCAGAGGTGACACGCGAACTCATTTTTTTGGTTGATTTTTCTTTGTTAAATGGCATTTAAATATATAAAATAAATATCAAAAATATAAATCTTTGTTTTACTATGGTTGCAAATATCAAAAAATTTCTATATGTGACACGGCACCAGAGTTAAGTTAGCGTTTTTCAAAATGCTTCCCTTAGGTACTAAGGGAAGGTGATTCTGGAGAAAAAGTGCTTGCTGTGTCACAACCACAGGGTACCGACAGCCTTATTTTGGCATATTTTTGAGGAACTGTATTCAAGGCCCATCCCCAAACATTGTTCTACTTTTGGCTTCATTTTTCTCAGTACTGGTCCTACCCTATTGGTTTCACAGGCTTATAAATGTTAAACATCAAAAATTAGTTTCACTTATTATGGTTAGAAAAGGCTTACAGAACTCTGGGATCTGTGCCTCTGAGCAAAGGCTTTATCAGCTGGCCCCAGTCACTGCTTCTTGAAAAAAGAAAATGCTCCTGATTAAAAACCAACATACCTGATTTCCAAAAGGGTACTCACCACGCATGTATACATTTAATTACAAAGGGTTTCTGTCCCAACTCACAATTACCTCCTTCTCAAAATCCCATCTCATCTCCATGGTGTTTGAGAGCAAAGGGATAAATATAAAAAATTAAATCTCAAACTATTTATTAAGAAATTCCATCTTGATTACTTTATTCTTCATGGGCACTTAATTAACATAGCATCAGTATCTTTCCAATGTCTGTGTCTGAACAGCAAACACCTTCCAGATGTTTTCCCACTCAGGCAAAGACAAGAATAGGACTCAAATTATTGTCTTCTTTTCATGAGAATCCTCAACCCACACTAAATAAATTTATTGTAGTAGAACAAAGCATCATATCTGTATGACTGTAAAAAGGGCACTTGAGAAAAATGTTTACTATCCTTACAAATGCTGAAAATACCATGTATTCCTATAGCAATCGCATTTGTCGTAAGTGTGACAGAAAATAGCCCTTAAAATGGAAAACGCCTAATCTGTACGATACAATTCCCACTTCTGAAACAGCAGTATGACAAAGCAAAACGCAGAACTAGAAACCGAATACCCTCCAAGGAAACACATTTATTTCTGAAGCCTCCAAGGCACACGTCTGTGCAGCCTCACGGGCAGCTTCGCAGCAGAGAAAGGACAGCTCACGAGGAGCACGGGCGAGGCAGACAAGGTGGAGTGAACAAGCAGCGCTGCCTGCCACAAGCCACAGGTGACCGTCTCCTCCCAGGGCATCATTTAAGCTTCAGGAAAGAAAGATAACTTCTAAATCCCTAAGCCTCACTACTGGACATAAAAATACAAACCTCACTAAATACTTACAGCTGGCAGCCAAAAATAGAGAACAAACAAACGGCCATCGATAGATTTTTGACATCTAATGATGTAAGAGTGAAATAGTATTTCCATAGAAAACTTTATTAAAATAGTAATTTCATCACTCGTCTCAGTTAGAAAATGCTCACCTGTAGGTGAGTAAGAAAGAACAGTATACGCGGCCAACAGTTTACACAGATGCCTGATGATGCTGTCCACATACTCAAACCCCATGGAGCAGTTACAGCTTAAGAATAAAATGAAGAAAGGGGAGAGATGCTAAAAGTGAAAGCTATAGTAGCGAGGACAAAAAATTTTTACAAAACAATAGCAACAACAACACATATGCCAACATGAGCCCTTTACTCTACGTGTGCCCTTGCCTAGCAACACCTAGCAGTGATTCCCCCCAGAAGGTGCAAGTCAGAATCTTCCAGAAGCCTGGTACTTGGAAAAAGAATATTCAATATATCTATTAGTTTTATACTATAAACTATACCTTTTTTTTTTTTTTAAAGACTGAAAATTCTTTAGGGCTGAGGGAAATGTGCAGTATATGAAATAAGAATGCATTCTGGGGAGCAAGTGTTAGAAAAACATTGAGATGTGGCATTACCACACAGAGAGCGTTATATAAGCTCTCCTCCGGGAGAGTTAAACTGAGGTAATGATGCAAACAGGAGAAGAAAGCTAGCAGCTAGCCTTTTCATCATAAGGGGCAAAAAGGTCTCTGAACTAGGTAAAGTCATGCAGTATTTCCACCGTAAGTTTTAGACTTAATTTAAAAACATTAGAAACAAAGATATTTGTAAATAAATGGCAGAACAAGAGGGAAGAAAATGGACTGGAAGGAAAATCATAGGTCAAAAATCTGAATACTGAACTTACTTATGATCATAAAAAATGTACATTCATTTTAGAAAATTTGGAGATAAGAAAGGTTTGACTTACCTCTCGGGTAGCTAGCTGGTTGCTGAGCTCCTCGGCCTTCTCAATATTCCACTCTTCCACAGCCTGGTCTATGCTCTTTTCAAGGCCCGACTAGAAAGAAACAAAACCTGAAACTTAAAGGCAGGAAAGAAAGGCAAACAAACATTCGCTAGCAAAGACTATGTAGCAGGCTACAGTTGGAGAACCACTGACCTCAGCGACGCCTTCCGTTCCCTCCAACATCTTACCTTGTTTAGGCTTTCCCAACCATTTCTCTCAACTACTTTCACATCCAGGTGCTTCAGCAATGTCAGAGAAAGTCAAATAACTCAATCCACTGGCTTCGCTAAAAGCCATTTATCCAATTCAATTCTGCCCTTGACAGGCTCCACAGTCCTCTGACACTGTTACATGTCTTTCCCATGACTCCAAAGACCCTCAACCCCACCTCCTTCCTTTCCAGACTGTAACTCTACCCCCACTTTACGGGAGCGGGAGAAGGGAGGGAAAAGAAGAACCAAGGATATGTATGTCCTTTCTACAATCTTCCTCTCCTCCACCTCAAAAACGTTATCTTCAGGTATCCTGTTCTTCATTCCTTACTGCACCCAGGAAAGAATCATCTCCCTTGCAAGACAAACCCCACTTCCTGTGCTCACCACAATCCCATCTGCTTTCATGCTATCCAGAACCTTGCTCTTTAAATTTTCTGCCCCCATCTTTCTTTCATCCTACAAACAAGCTTGTTCTCCCCATTCTGGACCAGGGACTGGATGGGATGACTCAGCCTCTTTCCTCAAACTGATTTCTTATGTTAATACTACTTCTCTCTCTTCTAAAACACTCTCATCAGTTGCCCTGATGTCATCTCATTCCTTAACCGTCTAAGCCACAGAGTCTATGGTCACAGGAGACACCAACTGTTGTCCTTTCACCTGCGCATCTTTTATGTTAACCACATCCACGTTCTATCGCCCCCAAATATCTATCTTCAATCTCCTTTGAAGTCCCTTATCTCTTGTTGCCCCTTAGTGACAGTACTCCTGCGATTTGTGATTGACCCCTTCTTCTTACTCTTATTTCACACCGTAATTCAATCCTAGGCCTTCAATTAATTCTTATAAGCTGCTTTGGATCTCTATATAATTTAAAGCATCTGACCTTTCACCTTATCAAGATCTACAGCTCCAGCTACTTCCTAGTTATCTTCATATTGAAGGTAGCGTCCTCCCTTTTTTAATTATGTCTAAAAACAAGTTCCTCACTCCCGCCGGCTTCTCCTTTAGAGCTAACTACCCTATCAGTCACCCCTGATAAAATCCGCAGTCAGCTTCAATGCCTCCAATTCTGTGCTCTTAATTTAACTGTTTTGTAGTGTCTCTCATTTCTCCTTTCTGTGCTTCTTCAGGGTGTCATAATCTCGTTTGAAAGATTATAACCACCTCCAAATTGGTCTTCTATCTTTCTTAAGCGGATACCATGTCATTATCTAGCTTAAAACAACACCACTTTCTTACTCCTTTTGAATAGCACCCAATTCCCTTCATAATAGAATCTCAGTACCTGTACCTGGAATATTTTAATTAATATTTCTTTTTATAGTCAAAATAAACTATTTTCATTTAAGAAATACTAAAACAATGGCCTCTCCTTCCTACATAGAACATTAGGTATCTCCTCAAATGCCACGGAGATATGTGGAAACAAAACATTAATATCAAACTTTAATTTTCCCTGCACCACAAATTCTGGGGTAGCCTGACACCTCACCCCAGACCTGCTCTCCAGTCTTTCACCTCAGCAACCTGGTCTAACAGCAGCCATTCTTGAGCCTGTCCTGCGTATTCCACATGGCAGCTCTGCTGTGTCCGTCCAATTAGGTAGGCTTCCTGAGATACGGATCATCTGGGTGCCACATTCCCTTACTCCAGACGTAGAATAACACAGGTCAGCGAGCAGAGAGGAATCCAACCTATTTTCCCACCAATGCCCAAGAATAAACCAGTGGTCTGTTTATTCAGCCAACGTGCTACTTCCCTTTGGCTACCATGGATGGGCCACAGCTTACAAGTTAATGTCACAAAGGGGGAAACAGGAACATTCCCCTCTGCTAGAAACTTGTATGAACTGCTGAGCTTAAAAATATACTTTTCACTTAAAAATAAATCATCTAAAATTATAAATGTATCTCTTCACCATCAATCAACCTCCATTATCCAGCCATCTGGAGCAGTGTCTACGGGAGATGGCACAATATAGTAGAAAAAACAATGGATTAGGAGTCAGGATTAGGAGTGGTCACAGCTCTGGATAAATGAGGTACTTAATTCTTAAGTGGCTGTTTCATTAAAGAAAACCAGTTATTGGCTTGGATGACCAAAACCCTCTCCTAGAAATAAAATCCTAGAATTCCACTTACATGTTCAACTTTTTATTTGCACTTTTAGAAGATATTAACATTCCAAATGCTTACATTAGTACAAAATCATCCTTAGGTAAACACTTCCATCACCTAGCACCATAAGCTAACAGCACTTGACAAAGAGCATGGCTGGTGAGGTCACAGTCCAGCTCCTCTACTTGACAAAGCTGGAATCACAAGTTCACACGTAAAATTCTGTTGTGTGAGTTCCTAATGCACATGCCCTCAATGATGCAACACCACCCAATGGGTGAATATCAGGTTTTTCATGAGAAATACTGATTAATCAGAAAATGGTAATGATCTCTACGCACACAGTCATCTATGGCAATGACCCACGACGGAGGCACACACAGGTACAGCAGACCTGGGCCTCACCAGGCAGGACCCTGTGCTCTGGCCCTACCACTCAGTGGTCTGTTTTCATGCTGCTGCAATCTGTCCATCATTCCTGCATGTGAATATGTACGTTCCTCATGCATTCAAACCTCTACTCAGTATTAGTCATCTATACAAAGACCGACAACTCCCGAATGTGTTTCTAAAGCTGGCTCTCCTCCAAGCTCCTGCCTCATCTTACAACAGTCTATTCGCTTCCTGCTGGCTGAGATCACCCACGCCCCACGCTGAACTCTGGAGGCCCCACTCTAAATCTTCTCCCCTCCCAAGCTTTCCCATCTTCATAGCTATTACCTTTCTGCTTAAGGTAAAACCGTGAATGGCTTTCCCTCCTCATTCTCCAAATCCTCCCCACTACCTCGCCAACAATCCAGAGGCAAATCCTGTCAATTCTACTTCTGCCGTATACCTCAAATCCTTCCACTGTTCTCCTTATTCAGCAGTAGCATTCTTGTTCAAGATGGGTCTTGTTCTAGAAGGGTCTCTTAACTGCTCTCTTCTCACCTACTTTTGCTGCCCCGCAGTCCATTCTCCACATAATAGCAATCTTTTTAAACACAATTTAGATCATGTAACTCCTTTTAACTGAAAATCCCTGAATGACTCTCAACTGCACTGTCACTAAAACCCAACTCCTTTCTCTGCCCCTGAAGGTCCTAGAGTTGGCTCCCTACTTGCCGGCCTCTCCAATCTCATCTTGGGCCCCCTCCTCCTCACTAACTGCACGCCAGCCAGGCTGACCTTAGTGACTCCAATGTCCGATGATGAACGACTCTTTCCTCCCTAGGATCTCTAGCCAGGCTCTCACTCTGCACTAGCATTCCTTATTTAGATGGTTCCTTCCCTCCTTCAGGTCTCAGTGAAATGGCATCTTCTGAGAAAGGTCTTCCCTGACCACAACAAGCTAAAGTTGGGGCCTCCATTTGAATTTCTTCACAATACCCCATTCATTTCCTTAACAGTTTTTGTTAATGATTTGTAACTATATATTTAGTTCTTTATCTAGCACCTTGTTTGGCACAGAGAAGGCATTTTAATAGTCACTTAATGAGAACTACCTTTGGCAAGGTTAATTACAAACATTTTCTACTGAGTAATATAAGATGCAATAAAAAAAATCAACAACACTTTACCTTCTCAATTTTTTTCTTTTTAACAGGGGGTTCAAATCTGTCATTGACTCCAAAATACTGAGTAAGTTCCTTCAACCGGGTTTCACTTGAGGACTGTTCACTATAAAAACATAAACAATACGTTTTGCACTAAATGTACTCATTTTTATTTTTACTGTTTTTAATTGGTTACTACAATTATATTACAACAACTAGTTCTTATGTTTCAGAGGTAATTAATTTATTTGTACAAATTCTACAAATACTAACTAGAATAGACAAATATTTTCAACTCCACCTACCTATGAGATTCTTCTTCATTCTTCAATTTACCTGAAAAGAATTCACAGTGTTAATAGCTAAGTATTTAGTTATTTCAAAATTACATTTATTAAAAATTAATGGGCTCAGTCGCAGTTTAACATTAGCACTATTGACAATTAATCTGAATTAAAGCAAAATACCTTTTCTGGAGCGTTTTCTTTTTTTCCTTCTAAATCTTGAAGATGAGATTTTCTGTTCAGAATGTTTTTTATGCAATTCTTGAAATTTCTACATAAAAGTAAAAAAAAAGCAAATATATTTTGAAGCAACACATACATCAAAAACTAACAAGTAATAAAACTATTCTATTCCAGCATTTATAAACACATATTTAAGTTCTTCTTGAGATACTATATTCTCCAAGGCTCTTTCACAACCTGAGTTTTCATCTTACTTTATTTCTAAATATTTCTAGATAAGTCAAACTGATAATCTGAGAGTAAAATTCAATGACTCATAGATAACAAAAAGATAAATTAAGATAGAAATTCCTCCTGTATCATGTTAGGCAAAGTAGCTAATCTTACTAAATGTTTTCTTCCCCTATTTATGAAAAACAAAACAAAAATGAAAGCAAATATCTGAATGGCCAATGGAATGACTACAGACCCACCTGGTAATAAAAAAATTCTGGGTGAATTTTCCTACCTATTACCTCCCAAGAACATGTACACTCTGACCATGGCAGAGACACACAGGCATGTACAAACACAGGCCATACTAGGAACACATCAGAGAAAACCTACGTTCCATATATGTAAGGGAACTCCAGAAGGACACTCTTCATATGCATTTACATTCGCCTCTGCTTCAGTGTTTGGTCCATCTGCAGGGAAATCCGTGATCTCTGTTTCTGTAATGGTCCCAGCTTCTTCATCTTCCTGTAAGTTAGGTCCAGAGTTCTCTATTGTGTCTTCATCTTCAGAATTCAACTCAACATCACTTTCATTTAGGCCAGGAGGTAGCAGCCCACTCCACATCTTTTCTTCTAAAGGGAAAAGGGTGAATTTAGACCAATTTAAAGTAGGCATGCAAAGAATTTTAAAACCAGTAAATGACATCCCAGAGTCTAATAAATATACCTATAGTTTGGGAACAGTCCAGCTAAACTTTTTAAAAATCTATAATAGGATATGCCCCCCATATTAAAATTAAACTTTGTATAAAAAAAAAGTGTAAAGCAGTTTAGCAAGTTGTTACAAAATACATCTATAGGTGAATGACCTAAGAATATAGGACCTTGATTCTCTATTATATGCATAATTTTGCCTTAAAAAAAGGAAATCCAGTAAAAGCATCCATTGCTCGAGAATGGTAAGAACCTAACAATATGCCCTGCAGGCCATGTAAGAGCTATATTACTATAGTTCAAGCTATACCAACTAGAGAAGAAAACAAAATTGAATGTTTCGCCTGTATTGGGATATATAAAACATTCAGGGGACTTACTAAGGAGCAGGAAAACAATTATTCAAAAAGAAATTTTCTAAGCTGTACAAGTAGTTTGAGGAAAGTGTGATGGTGAAAAGGATATCCTAGATTAAAATTTTATACTATTTGCTAAACTAATATTAAATGGAATATAGTCCTAACATTTTAACAAAAACATACTATATTTGGTAAACTAATATTAAAGTCCAAAATAATATTTAGCATTAGTTATACTGTCCATTTGTAGAACCATTAGCTAGTGTTTAATAAAAATAATGTTTAAAAATTGGAGTTGTAGTCAATTTGTTCCAATTAAGATAACTGAGTACATTTTCACTATAAATGGCATAGTCTATTTTAGAATATATATTGAGCCAAATCCATTTTGTTTAAAAGTTGCCTGAAACAGAGAAGTTGGTTGTAGTGCTCATGATTACTATCAACCTGAAGGAATAAAATGAATAGAAATCTTTCCTGCTAAGTTTTCTACCCCGTATTGTGATTAATTAACCTAGTAACAAAGCCACCACCATTCATCTCTGAGACAAAGACATCATTATTCAGAGCTTTTCCATAACTGTGAATGGACCTCCTCCCACACCCAAAGAATCAGATCTTACTTTCTGCCACTTTGGTCCAGACTCATCAGCTGTTAGCTCTCAGAAACATCCTCACCAAAATAATCTCTTGACTTTTTAAGAGGAAGGGTCTGACATATAACTGCTCCCATTGTAATCCTGTGTCTACCATATACTAGTAGTATATGGAAATCATTTTTAATACCTCCGTTTTTTCATCTGTAATAATAAGGCATACAGGCTTATTCTGAGGATTAAATGAGATAAAACCATGAAAACATTCAACAGTATTTAGGAGGTTCTAGGGGCTCAATCAGTGCTAAGTTCTTTTCTGCTATTATTCCTGTGGCTATGTACATTTTGATCATTTCTATCACGGATGGCAGCATTCATTCATAAGGTCGTTTTGAAGTTTCTCATGTTTGAAGTGTATTCGCTTAACAATTGATGCAAATCATTGACTTCCCTGATTTCCACAGGCTGACATGAAGTTTCTATAAAAAATGTAGGTGTCTGGTTTTCTGAATAGAGCAACAGACCCAGAAACAAATCAGCATGAAGATAATGGGGCTTAAGCTTCAAGGCTTATTTGCACAAGACACTATACCTAATTTTATATTTAGAATATGTATTCCAAAATTACATAGGCTCCCAACCCCAGGAAACCTGGATGCACCCCTACACCAGCCTGAGGACTTGAAAAGCTGGAATGGAGGTCATCTTGAGACACTCTATTAGCACCAAGGACATCATATAAAATACACCAATATTAAAAAACTGATGTGATGTTATTAGTAAAAATATTTCTACTCTTCTGAAAAGCAGGGCGAGGGGAGCAATAATAAGTTCCATCATCACTGTGATACTGGCACAGAACATACCTTATGCTCACTTTCCATTTCAGGATTTAAGTGTAGTAACAAATTTCAAATATTGCTTTAGCATAACTGGGGTTCTTCTATGCTTGAAACCACCGTTTCTTTTCCCTATCCACAGTATCTTTTGCATGCCCTCTGTGTGCAGGCACTCAGGACATGGGACAGCATGTACAAAAGGCAAAAACGCCTAACTTCATGGAGCCGACATTCTCCACAGATAACTCACCGAGGAGCCTGCAAGCGGCGCAGCCCCACGGCCAGAAGCTCGACTGTAAATCAGCCAATACGGAATGGCAGCCTGTGACATGCTTTGGGCTCATGTTCGAAAACACTGTTTTCTATTCATAGCATAGACATGTCTTTCATCCATTTCCAATGTACTACGTTAGGCCTCATGCTATTTCTGTTTTGGCTATTCTGATTCTCTCGTTCTTTGGATCGTCTCTCCCGCCACATCTATCAGTGTATATTCCTTTATTTTAAAGCAGATCACTCCAAATTACCTTTTCAATGTGAAAATTACTCAGCCTTTCCCAGGAGACGTGGCATACCAGGAAACTGGAAACTTAAGTTTTTTTAGTGCACATTCTAGCCAGATCTATACAACAGTCCCTGAATTAATACAAAACCTATCAGTTTTAAGTCTGTAATTAAAACAATTTTTAATTTAATCATTTTGCCCCCCCCCCAAAAAAGATGCAAATGATTCAGAAGCCATTTTTACTCTATGGTTTTAAATATCACCTTCTTCATCTCATACACTCTCTACTTCTGAAGTTAAGATTATTTTCCTTTCCACAATTATTCTTTTAAAAAATTCTGTGTATACTACACAGAACACAGCTTTAGTCCTGGGCTGATACAACTTACTATGAACTGAAAATATTTACGTATCATTCTAGTCTGAATGATCGGGTTTTCTTTTGCCCTTGAAAACCACCATAGTCACTATTTATTTAGCACACTTGGCAGATCACAATGCATCAAGAACATGACATAGTTCAGCAATTCCTAATCTAAGGTTTTTATAAAGTTTTATGAAGATAGTAATGGAGGTCTCTAAGCTAATTTCAATATTCAAAGCCCAATATTTTTCCCCCCTCAAACAATATCAGCCACATCTACATGAGGAGACTTAAAATCAATGAAGCATTATTCACCACATATTCGTTGATCAGAAGGTCTGATTGGTAGCTACAGACCTGATTTTTATTTAAAAAAAAACAAAACACACCACTAATGAATATACGTTAATAGACACAATCTTTCAAAACATGGCACCCAGGGAGATATCAAATTATAATAAAAGGCATTTGGGGTTGTGAAAGGATGGGGAACAGCTGGTACAGGGGAAAAGACTTGGTTTTGAATGTCAAAGACGGGTTCCTGTTCTGAACAACATAACTGTGGGCAAGACAATGCATTTTGCCTGGTCTCCATTTTTAAGCTATAAAATGAAAGTCTGATCAGATGATCTCTGAGATGTCCTGCAGCTTTCAAATGTTTCCTTATGGATCTTAATATTATATGTGCCCAAATACTCAGTCACCTCACTCTTTGCTGCAATACTCCATTCTCTTCCAGTGAGATGCAATAGTGATTGGACCCCTCCACCCCAGGAGATACGGCCCTCTCAACAACCTAGCTGTCACAGCCAAAATTGATAGTTTTCAGTTAGTGGCACTTCACACAGGACATCCTAAAGACAAGAAAACGCATTATGACAGAAGAAACAGAACTGGGAAAAGGAAACAAAGCAGGTCATTGCTATTCATAATATACAAACGATGTGACAAGTACTGACTTACCACTAATCTCACAACCGCACTTCCACTAGGAATTACTACGTCTTACAAATAAGGTGGCTGACTTGCGTAATGCAGTGATCCACTTACTTTACAAAAATGGAACTCATGACTTCAAATTATAAACTTTTAGAGGACAGAGACAAAGATTTGGAAGTGTCTCAAGAATGACTCTAGCGGTCTACCCTATAATCCTAGACTTGCTAAAATTTGATTAAGAAATTTTTCCCCCCACTGTTTAAGTACAGAAAACCATGTAAGATGCTACACTAAACTACATGTATCAAAGTCACATTCTGGCAATACTGTCACATTTGTGGCCCACCAGGCGGCTGCTTATAATCAAAACCCAAAAGATATAATCCAAGCAGTTTAATGAGTAAATGTCTCATATCTCCTGTGTCTGGTATTCCAGAATTTCAATGCCATTTTCACCAAATGATAACGTTTTATTTACATTTTGTACTCAATTAGAAATAATCACAGGAATCTGAACCTTGTCTGATATGAATTTAACCTTGTATAACAATCATAAGCCACCACCCACCCACCAATCTGAAGAGGGTGTTAAATAATTTACATGATAATCAGTTTCTATGGCTTGGAATAAGTTACTTAACTAAAACACTTTTAAACATGTATCATCAATACCATCAACAATCAAGAATTTTTTTTAAAAATGTACCATCAACATTAACGTAAACATCATGTTTACTTTCATAAAATAAACGTGTGTTCCCTCGTCTCAAAAAGGTAGGAAGTACAAGCGAATCACGGGCCTGCCTTCGGATTTGTTACCAATCCGATCACCCAGATAAACTATGGATGCATGTAGCAGGACTCTGCACGCACACACGTTTTCATTAAAGAGGGTGCCTGTCTAGGTCAGCGGAGGACAACACACTTCCTTAGGCCCAAGAACGACGTGCAGTTAGCCAGCAGCACAGCGAGGCTCATTTTAAGCCGGACGCTGCTGGGGAAACACTTACGTTCCTGACGGCAAGAGGGTGGCTCCAGCGAGGGTACCTCTTCCTGCCGGGCCGCCCCGCCCGGAACTCGGCGGGCCCCTAGGGGCAGCGTCACTCCGGTCCCCACACGGGACCCCCGCCCCGGCCCCGCACTAGGTGCCGAAGGTTCCGGGACGGGAGGTCCAGCCGGCGGACACTTCCATGAACTGCAGCTCTTTCCCGGGACACAGCCATGGTAAACGGAAGCTGTTTCCCTAACTGAAAGCCCTCTCCCCCTCTCACCTGGGCCGGGCCAGGCGGGGACGGAGAACCCTCTCCAACCCACCGGCTGGGGAAGGCGCTGCGACGCCCCTTCCGGCACTTCGGAGGCCAGGCCGGCCGACGCTCCCGCGGGCCCAGGGCGGCTCGGGAGAAAGGCTGTGAGGCTCCTCCACTGGCCCCCTCACTCCCCGAAGCGGGGGCTCCTCCACCCCTCACGCCGGAGCCCGAGCAGCCCGGGAGTCAGCCCCACAAACAGCTCTACTCACCCGTCCGGAGCCAGCCGCCCGGCAGCCATCTTAAGACCCCGTCAACATCGCGCCTTCTCATTGGCTCTGACCTCTCAGCCAATGGGCTGCGGCCGTTCTGGCCTGGCGGTCGCCGTGGCAACCGGCCGCGCTCAGCTCCAAGGTGAAGTTCACTGAATGGAGCGGTGGGTTTCTTTCCACTTTTCTCTCGCCGTAGTCCCTCTTGTTTTTCGTCGTTCTCCAGGCTTTGTCGGTTCGCCATCCCCTGCCGCACGCCGGTGCTGGCTTAGACTTTGACCTGAGTCCATGCCCAAGGGGAGAGAATCGCTGCAGGCGCTCTCTAGGCCCTTCTGGGAACGTTGCTGTTAGTTCTCCGTTTTCCTCCCTCTCTTCCTTTTTCCTTCTCTGCACGTGCTTGTTGAGCAGCCTTCCTTCCAGCCTCTGTGTCGGAGAAAGCGGTCCGCCTCCTGCTCCCGTGGAGCTTACCATCTGGTTATGCCCAGGCTGCTCCCCCAGCAGACTCCGTGGTCTTGGCCCAAAGCTTAGGGGACTTTTCCGAGGCAGCCACTGTCGTAGGCCCCGAGGAGGGGCGTGGGGAGCGTAGAAAATAAGCAAGGAAAACCACCAAGAAAAAGGCGCTACGAAGAAAACAGTAATGCGGTCGTGATGGGAGTGGGGCTATTTTAGAAGGGCTGCCGTTTTCTGAAACTGTTCAGTAACAGTAATAAGAAGACGAAGAATAGTCCCTATTTTCTAGTGTTGTAACGTTCATGTAAGAAAATACACATAAAGACCTTAACCTAGTACCTGGCCCACAGTAATTCCGTCTTAGCTATTTGTTACCAATAATGCCCTTCTTTGAAACATTGTAAAAATGTATAAAAATGTTGCTTGGCACTCAGTAATATATCACGATTTAGTATAAACAGATCGTTCAAGTTATTACCTAACTATCCAGTGCCTCACCCCCAGTGTCTCCCAGAAGATGTGCCAGGTTTGTGGAGTCACTTTCTATAAGCCCAGAATCGGTGAGCCCTGGATTGACAAGCTTGGGCGGCTAAGGTCCGTTTACCGTGCTCACAGCCTCTGATTCCAGAATAGAAGCAGAGCTGAGCCATTTGCAGATCTGTATGCAGCTGTCCTGGCTAGTGGTGCCTGGCTTCTCAGTGGGGTTTTCCCCGAATCCAGAACCTTCCAGAGTGAAGCAGCTAAAGAAAGGCCGTGTGTGAAAGCTCTGATGGAGCTCTGGCCTCCGGCCCCTTGATTGCTGTATTCGTCAGCGGGCCGCAGACTGGGCGGCTTAGCAGCAGCATTTACTTCTCTCAGTTCTGACGGTTGGGAAGTCCAAGATCAAGATGCCTGCAAAGTGGGTTCCCTTGTGAGTCCTGTCTCCTGGCTTGTGGGGCAGCAGCCATCTTGCTGTGTGCTCACATGATCTCTTCTTTATACATGTTTGGAAAGAGAGAGAGAAAGGGGGGAGGTAGGAAGAGAGGGAGAGACAAGGGAAGGGAAGGGGAGGGGAGGGAAGGAGAGAGGGGAGGGAGAGGAGAGGAGCTCCAGGGCTATCTGCTATCTCCTGTCTCTCCTATCTCCTGACTCTTCTGATGAGGAGACTAATCCTTTCAGGGCCCCGCTCTCATGGCCTTACATAACCTTAATTCCTTCGAGTCCCCAACCCCAAATACAGCCACACTGGGGGGTTAGGGTTTCAACGTATGAATTATATCCTTACACAAACATTCAGTCCATAAAATTGCCAATGGTGGAAGAGTGGCCAGAATGGGGAAAGAGCACAGAGGGGAGAAGACATGGAATAGGAAAAAAGTGACGTTGGCCTGTGTAAGAACCATCTAGAATGTTTCCACATAAATTCCATCAAAGTATAATAGTTTTTTTAGTACATATAAATGTGCAAAATAGAGGGGGAATAGAAGCACTCCAAAACCCTACAAACACCGGATTTCACACCAAAGTCCCAGTCCTACTCCAAAATAGGTGTTTTAAATTTTTCTCTATTAATTTGAGAATTCTCAAACGTCTGATTGTTTACCTGCGACATTATTGGATTCCTGTAATAAATGTAAATAGCTCAGACTTTTCTTCTGGCTCAGAACATTATCGTTTTGCCAGTTTTCTGGGGGAACTGTCAGTCATTTGATTTATTTTAATCAATAAATTTACCTTCCCTCCAGCAAATTCCTGCCCTGGAAATCTGCCAAGCCATGCATTTTGTGAATGAAATACTTGTATTTGGTGAGATTTCCATGAAACATAGAATTATTGAATACCTTTTACTAAATCATACTGAATGCGACGCGGCTAGTGAATTTGAACTTGAATTGTGTTGCATCTGGCACTGATTTCAAACATGTAAGTTTCACCTAAATTATCAAACGTATCTTAAAAATCATAAAGCAGTTTTTCTTTGCCAAGAAATATTACAGTTTCTGAATAGTTTGTCCTTATATTTCGTCATTTTTTTCTTAGTGTAGAGATTACAAGTCACACTCATGTTATAAAAGATTAATTGTGGAGGTCTTTTCTGGTGGCTGCTAAATCTCTGATTGATGAAAATTTTCCCAAATATAATGAAATCCCTTAACTATTCCTCAGCTGGAAAAAGTGAATACGACCTTGTTGAATATATAATAAATGTGTTTCTTGCTGAAACTGAGAAAGAGAATAAATGAATTTCCGTCTGTACCAAATGCCTTATTTTCTGCATTGAAGAAAACGTGGTGTAGTGACTTACACAAAAGAACAGAAACAAGGGAGTTCTGAATTTTAGGAATGGTGTGACAACGTCTCTTCTGGATCTGTTTTTTAAATTTGCAAACCGTAGCATCTATAAACAATGTTAGCCTTAGAGGAATATGTTAAACAACTAGCACTGACATCAAAAAGAGTTAACATTCAAGGAAACGACATTCCTATAATATTGATGTTGCCAAAGAAAAGCATTTTTTTAATTGGTTATGTCCAGTGCTAATATCATAAAATCTTATGAAGTAATTACTGCTGTATCCATTTTACATATAAGGAAATTAAGGCTTCTAGAGTTCAAGGGGGAAACTTGCGTAAGGTCACAAGCAGAACCGGACTGTCAACCTCATGCTCCTTCCACTGTCACCCACTGCCCTACTTTTAAGATAAAGTTCCCAGCACAGTACGGTCAATAATGTATGGACGTCAAGACTACCCTGGGATGTATACCCAGTGGGAACTCAG